TTCACTATCAATGCCCAAATTAAAATATATTTTATCAACCATTAAAGATGCACCTTCATCTTTGTAATGTGGGTTTGACAAACAAGTAATACCCAAATTAAAATATATTTTATCAACCATTCGTGATGCACCTTCATCTTTGTAATGTGGGTTTAACAAACAAGCAGTTAAATAAATTTGAGGAATAGGAATAAAATATTTTTTAAATTTTTCAATCATTTTCTTAACAGATGCTTCAAATCTTGGTTTATTTTTGAATTTATAAAATTTATTAGAAATAGCACAAATATTAGGTAAAACAGAGCAAATAGTTGGATAATAAAGTGCAGATATTTTTTTTGTAGTTAAATAAAAAACTTTTAAGAATTCTATAAGTTCTTTTATGTCATTCCAATCATTATCATCAAGTCTATATGTCATATTTGAATTATGAGCATTCCAAACCATTTGTAAAGGTTTCCTATATTCATAAGCAACTTCAAGCATTTCAAATAAAGAATTCCATCTAGTACACACTGATTTTGGAATTTTTCTAGGTGGAAGATTAAATTCACGACAACGATTTTCAAAATCTCTACGTCTAGACTTAACTTGACATTTAAAAATAAAATGACATGCAGTTTCAACTTTTGTGCAACCATCATCATATATTGCTATACCATCTCTAACAATCAAATTATATATGTGTGCAGCACACCTAATATGAAAACCATCAATATAAATAGGGCAAAGAGACAGTTTTAATATTTCAACAGCAGCTGTATTATTAGAAGCATTATCTAATGTGACACTACTTATTTTATCACAAATTCCATAGTTTTGTAAAACATCTATAATTGTTTGAGCTATATAACTACCGGTTTTATGCATTTCACAACATTTTATAACCTAAAATTCTTTTTTGCAAAGTCCAATTTTCATCAATCCAATGCGCAGTAATAGTGAAATAATCATTACCATTTACACTACGGCCCATATCAGAAGTAATAGCTATTTTACAATTATTATAATAAAATAAACAACGAAGATATTGAAAATGTTGAGCTTGATAATCAAAGATAGTCTTTTTAATTGTATTTCTAGTAAACCTTTAAAATGTGGATTATACACAATTTGAATATAGTGAATAAAACCGGGATTTTCAGCAAAATTAAATGGCAAACCCATAACAACAATCATTTTAGCTAATTCTTCAAGATCTTTTTCTCTACTATATGACCGTTGTATACTAGAACCAGAAACATTAGAAGGATTTAATTGTGTTTGGACCATATTAGAGCCCTCTACTCCTACATTTTCAGGAAGGGTGGTACCATTTTTTTTAGCTTTGGCTACAGCTTTAGCATGCAAAAATTCAATTTTACAACATGACATTAAATGATTACTCAAATGTCCCGTCCCACCCTGTTTTCCTACAGTTTTATGATTCATTCTATGTTTACATTTATTACAAATAGCTTGTGTTTTATCTTCATTCTGAGTCATAAATTGCCACACAACTGATTTTTTAGCGCGTTCTACCTTAGTCTTAGGATGTACGGGGGGAACGGGAGCAGGACAACGAAAGGGAGCGGGAGCCGGGGAAGAGGGATTGGGAGTGGGACTAGTAGCCGACGGTGGCTCAGTTTCATCATCATCATAATCATCAACATTATTATCAAAATTATCAACATAAGCATTAACATCATCATGTTCAATATCTTCAGGTAATTCCTCATCAAAATTACCAAACTTTCTTTGTAAATGTTCATGATAAGGATCTAATCCACTAGTACTATCAATATTAAAAACAGTGTCATCAACATGCGTATAATCATCCGTATTTATTCTTAATTGAGAAGTTTTTTTAGATTTAGATTGAGAAGAACTACCGGTTTTTTTATTTTTCTTGGATTTTGAGCTCCATAAATTAGTGATCGAATCAACTATGGTTTTTTACCCTTGTCAACATTGTTTTTACCGGAATTCATATTCAAATATAAAAAAGTGAGTAAATTATATATAATACGAAAATGTAACGTAAAGTTTTAAACAAATAAATAACTAAATAAGTAGAGACTAGAGACTAATTACTCACAAAATAAATAATTAAATGCAAACAAATAAATAACTAAATGAAAAGTGAGTTGGAACGAATGTACCAAACGTCTACTTAAAAAAGTAGACGTGTATGACCGGAAGCCGAAAATTGAAAGTTGAATTTTGAAGCTCCAAGCCTCCAATTTCCAAAGAACAAATTCGTAATTTAAACAAGAATAAGAGATTAGAGAGTAGAGACTAGAGAGTAGAGAGTAGAGACTAGAGAGAGTAGAAGATATTTTTGTGAGTGAAAAGAATGAAAGTTTGGGGGTATTTATAGTAAGAAAAAAGGATGAAAATGTAGTTTTTAGAAGGTTGGGGTATTAAAAAAAGTTTGGGGGGTAGGGAGGTGTAAAGGGGAGTAATGGGGGTGAAAGAGCCGTTGGTGGGGCCCAAAACCCGTTGCCCAACGGCTCTCAACGGCTAGATTTTTTAGATTTAAAAAAAAAAAAAAAAAGTTCAGAACCGGACCGGACCGGGACCGGAACCGGTACTAACCGGACCGGAACTCCGGTAAGTCCCGGTTTCCGTCCCGTTCCCCCTCCCGGATCCGGTGAAGTCCGGATCTATCCGGTACAAACCGGAACAGAGACGGAACCGGTAACGGACCGGAACGAACCGGAACCGGAACCGGAACCTCCCGGTTCCGTTGCCACCCTTAATGAGGAGTGTTTACCATCTGAACAACTCCCTCTAGTCATCCACAACATGTGTTGTTCCTTCCTTTTTTCGTTTTTCATTTACTTGACATTATTAGGAGACTTGGCAGTGGACTCCAACTATTCTAAGCTGACCTTTAATTTTACTGCTTAGAGGTGTTGTACCTTGCTTTTTGAAGAGGGTATTTTTGGAATTGATGTACAACATGCATTCTCTTGTTTTGGTAACACTGTGTCTACTGATTTCTCCATAGTGTGGCGAATTCATAATAATTTGTAAATAAGCAATTGTCGAGATTAAGAAAGCTATTTTAACATCATGCATGTTTGATTATAAAAATTATTTAGATAGACTTAGCGCAAATTATTGATTTCATCTCCAAATAATGATAGTCTTTAAAAACACCTCTCTACTTGACTAATTAAATTTAGATACATCCCGAACACTCCCGATGTGCCACATAACATAGCGAGTGGTCTCAAGCTCGTATAGAAACATGATGCTCTTAATAAAAAACCGAGATAAGTGTTGAAAATACTCCTAAATTTGACGAGAATTTAAGGATGTATTTCACTCATGTTGCAAGATCGGGGGCGTATGTGAGTTCAGTTAGTCAAAGTAAAATGATGTTTTTAAGATTGTCAATAATTTAAGAATGAAACTAATAATTGACACCAAATTTAGAGGGATACGTTTTCGATACTTCTCTCAATTATTTATTATCTTTTGAAATATCACTGTATTCAAATAGTTGATGGAATAAGTCTAAAGTGATAAACTATTTGCTTTATTGTTGGAGTCCACAGTAGGGACACCACCACATCCAGTGGATAAGATGCCAGTAGAACAGTGAAAAAAATTATTCCGTCCGTCCCTTGCAAAACTTTACCCAATTTGGGCTATTATAAGTCTCAATTTGTATGTTCCATGAATTTTATGTTTTTATGCGATTTGATGCTTTCAAATTTTTTTCTACGTACTCATACAATCAAACCTTTATAACGGAAGTCGTTTGTCCTGAAATGTTTATAGTATAATGTTGATATAAAAAAAGACACTTGTAATACACTATAATATAACATTAGTTCTTTAAAAAAAGAAAAAACCGAGAATGATTGTTATAGTAAGATGAGAGTATAATGTATTTCTCCTTTTTGATTAGTGTGCAGCTGCCCCACCTTTACTTGACATTATTAGGAGACTTGGCCATGGACTCCAGCTATCACTAAAAAGCAAAAGCAAATATATAGTATATGCTGATATATCTTCTTTATCTTACTTTTCCTAATTAATCATTCTGATCAGTTTTTTGTAGCTACTGAAAAAGAGAGAGAGTAAAGAAATGGCTGAAATTCTTCTTACAGCAGTGATCAATAAATCTGTAGAAATAGCTGCAAATCTACTCTTTCAACAAGGAACACGTTTATATTGGTTGAAAGAAGACATCGATTGGCTCCAGAGAGAAATGAGACACATTCTATCATATGTAGACAATGCAAAGGCCAAGGAAGTTGGAGGTAATTCAAGGGTCAAAAACTTATTAAAAGATATTCAACAACTGGCAGGTGATGTGGAGGATCTATTAGATGAGTTTCTTCCAAAAATTCAACAATCCAATAATTTCATTTGTTGCCTTAAGACGGTTTCTTTTGCGGATGAGTTTGCTATGGAGATTGAGAAGATAAAAAGAAGAGTTGCTGACATTGATCGTGTAAGGACAACTTACAACATCATGGATACAAGTAACAACAATAATGATGATTGCATTCCATTGGACCAAAGAAGATTATTTCTTCATGCTGATGAAACAGAGGTCATTGGTTTGGATGATGACTTCAATATGCTAAAAGCCAAATTACTTGATCATGATTTGCCTTATGGAGTTGTTTCAATAGTTGGCATGCCCGGTCTAGGAAAAACAACTCTTGCCAAGAAACTTTATAGGCAAGTCCGTGATCAATTTGAGTGTTCGGGACTGGTCTATGTTTCACAACAGCCAAGGGCGGGAGAAATCTTACATGACATAGCCAAACAAGTTGGACTGATGGAAGAGGAAAGGAAAGAAAACTTGGAGAACAACCTACGATCACTCTTGAAAATAAAAAGGTATGTTATTCTCTTAGATGACATTTGGGATGTTGAAATTTGGGATGATCTAAAACTTGTCCTTCCTGAATGTGATTCAAAAATTGGCAGTAGGATAATTATAACCTCTCGAAATAGTAATGTAGGCAGATACATAGGAGGGGATTTCTCAATACACGTGTTGCAACCTCTAGATTCGGAAAACAGTTTTGAACTCTTTACCAAGAAAATCTTTACTTTTGATAACAATAATAATTGGGCCAATGCTTCACCAGACTTGGTAGATATTGGTAGAAGTATAGTTGGAAGATGTGGAGGTATACCTCTAGCCATTGAGGTGACCGCAGGCATGTTAAGGGCAAGAGAAAGAACAGAACGTGCATGGAACAGAGTACTTGAGAGTATGGGTCATAAAATTCAAGATGGATGTGCTAAGGTATTGGCTCTGAGTTACAATGATTTGCCAATTGCATTAAGGCCATGTTTCTTGTATTTTGGCCTTTACCCCGAGGACCATGAAATTCGTGCTTTTGATCTGACAAATATGTGGATTGCTGAGAAGTTGATAGTTGTAAACTATAGTGGTGATAGGCGAGAGGCTGAAAGTTTGGCAGAGGATATCCTAAATGATTTGGTTTCTAGAAACTTGATTCAAGTTGTCGAAAGGACATATGATGGAAGAATTTCAAGTTGTCGCATACATGACTTGTTACATAGTTTGTGTGTGGATTTGGCTAAGGAAAGTAACTTCTTTCACACCGAGCACAATGCATTTGGTGATCCCAGCAATGTTGCTAGGGTGCGAAGGATTACATTCTACTCTGATAATAATGCCATGAATGAGTTCTTCCGTTCAAATACTAAGCTTGAGAAGCTTCGTGCACTTTTCTGTTTTACAGAAGACCCTTGCATATTTTCTCAACTGGCTCATCTTGATTTCAAATTATTGCAAGTGTTGGTTGTAGTCACGTCTCGAGATCGTTATCAGCATGTAATTACTATCCCAAACAAAATTGGGAACATGAGTTGCCTACGCTATGTGCGATTGGAGGGGAGAATTAGAGTAAAATTGCCAAATAGTATTGTCAAGCTCAAATGTCTAGAGACCCTGATGGGAAACTGCCAAATTGTATGGTGAAGCTCAAACATCTAGAGACCCTAGATATTGGTAAAAGCTTCTTTATTAAACTTCCTACTGGTGTTTGGAAGTCTACACAATTGAGACATCTTCGTTCTATAGGTTATAATCTAGCACCTTACAATTACTTTTGTATAAACCCATTTTTTCCAAACGTGTACTCATTGCCTCGTAATAATCTACAAACTTTGATGTGGGTGGATGATAAATTTTGTGAACCGAGATTGTTGCACCGATTGATAAATTTAAGAACATTGTGTATAAAGGATGTATCCGGTTCTACCATTAAGATATTATCAGCATTGAGCCCTGTGCCTAAAGCGTTGGAGGTTCTGAAGCTCAGAATTTTCAAGAACACGAGTGAGCAAATAAACTTGTCGTCCCATCCAAATATTGTCGAGTTGGGTTTGTTTGGTTTCTCAGCAATGCTCTTGAACATTGAAGCATTCCCTCCAAATCTTGTCAAGCTTAATCTTGTCGGCTTGATGGTAGACGGTCATCTATTGGCAGTGCTTAAGAAATTGCCCAAATTAAGGATACTTACATTGCTTAGGTGCAGCCATGATGCAGAAAAAATGGATCTCTCTGGTGATAGCTTTCCGCAACTTGAAGTTCTGCATATTGAGGATGCACGCGGGTTGTCTGAAATAACGTGCATGGATGATATGAGTATGCCTAAATTGAAAAAGCTATTACTTGTACAAGGCCCAATCATTTATTCCCCAATTAGTCTCAGGGTCTCGGAACGGCTTGCAATGTTGAGAATATAAAAATCTCACAGGTACTATAAATAATTATTTACGTTTAATATCCATGATTTTTTGAAATTTGTATTTAGTTCATCAACTAAATATTCCATCTCTAATAAATTGCAGGGATGCCTTTGAAAATGATTTAAGTCTGTGTTGGAGAGAATCTTCTGATCGTAAAAGGTGTTCCAATGAGAAAAGCTAGACAAAGAAATTTCATGCAACCTCTCACACCGAGCACAATGCATTTGGTGATCTCGGTAATATTGCTATTACTTGTAAGACTCCGTTCCCTAATAAGTCTTTCCAAACGGCTTGCAAAGCTGAGAATATGAAAATCTCACAGGTTAGTTTACTGCGTTAACTATTTACATTTAATATGCTCGATAAGGTGATTTTAAAAAATTTGTACTAGTTAGTTCATGAACTAAATATTTCATTTAATACTCCATAATTCTGAATATGCGTGGAACGATTTGGATGTGAGTACCGGGTGGAAAACCAAGAAAATGGATTTATTTGTCATGTTTCATGAGAGTTAATTTGATTAACTTTGAGAGTCAAATTGAATAAAATTCACTCAATATTTTAAATTTTAAATTTAAATATTTAAAAACTATATATGATCAATCTTTCTCATATTAATATGATGAAAAAATACATCTCAAAGTTCATATATATATCATTTAACTCTCAAAAAACGAAACGTAATAAGTTAAAATAAAAGGATAGAATAATTAATTGCAAAAATATTCATCTTAAAATGTTAATCAAAGTTCATATAGTTTGACTCTCAAAAAATGAAACGTAATAAGTTGAAATAAACGGATGTAATAATTTATTGCAAAATTATTCATCTTAAAATATTGATCCAAATTCATATAGTTTGAATCTCAAAACGAAATGTAATAAGTTAAAATAAACGGATAGAATAATTTATTGCAAAATTATTCACACCTCAATGTAGACGATAGAACCACATTATAAATAACTTGCAATGCATTTCTCCAACTACCAAATTTAAAGCCTGCTATTCTCGAACCCACAACTCTAACGTGGAAAACATTTTTATTAGTATTGACAGTAGTTATCATTATCCATGTTTAGTCAATAAAAATAATACAGGTCTTGAAATATAGGATTGTAAGAGTGGATAAATCATGTAAACCTTCTTAAATTCTACTAGCAGGGAATATAAAATGAGCAAAAGTGGCATCTCAATTATGCAAAAAGATAATAAAAAAATAAATAACTTATTAACCATGTGTACTAAATTCCGGTTATATGCGGAGTCCAAAGAAGAGATGGATCACAAGAATCTATTATATGTAATTTTATTAGTATTTTTTATAAGAGTCTATTTTCAAAACTCGATCCATACTAACCTCTTAATCACATGCCAACAACCAGAACGTACTCACTCCTTAATGTTTTGTCATGATGAAAGATTTTGAAAGTTTTGAATATTGTCCAAATCGTAAGGACAAAACCTTCTATATACTTCAAGCTTGGTTGTAGCCATGAGGTTGAACTAACCGTTCCATCTGCAGTCCACATGTTCTGTTTCAAACCCAGTATTAAATGTTGCGCCAGAATTAACGAGGAGAAGGTACAACAATTTGCTGTTTTTTTAAGGAGTTGTAAACCTCCCAAAGTTTATGAAGGCAAAAGTATATATATATATATGTACATTGATGAAGTTATAAAAAACCAGGGAAGAAATTAAAGTAATAACTCATTGATAAATTAGTTGTAAATAAGCAGGGGAAGCAAAAGATTTTTATATAATTTGTTTCTCTTGCCTGCAAAATATTTTGTTTACCTTACATCTCTACCTTAGGAATGCTAGCTTTAAAATCTAATGACACAATGGACTAGAAAAGATACATAAGCTTGAAAATTTAACTTTATGGTTCTATGGTGTTATACTTTATAACCAAAATCATTGAAATTCATCACTGTAAGAGACAAATGGATGCAACATTGATATGCCCCTACATGTTTATAATCTTGTATTCACATTTTATCAATCACCCTCCTATATTTGTCGTAGTGCTAATCCGCTAGACGACAAGCTAAAAACGTAGAAACTTGTGGTTGTGGGGTATAATCATCACAAAAGTGGAGCTTCTCAAAATTTTTTTGGAAAGCCACATAAAACACAAGCCCAAGCTTTCTAAGCATAGAATGGTGCCAGAGCATAGTTTTTAAATCTATGGCGGCACACAATCATGGTCCAAGTAAGCTAAGCTCGTAAAAGTCTTCAAAAAATCGTCCTTGGTGAATTTAATAGTAAAACGGAATGAGGTGAAAAAAAGATGATGTTTCCCTCTTAATTTTAGTGGATTGGGTCCAATAAAAATGGGTTAGGGTTGAATTATTAATTGGGTCAAAATATTTAGTGAGTATCCTAGTTGGCAGGCCTAGGTGGTGGAATTAGTGTCATGTATCATTTCTGTTAAGTTTTAAGGGTAATTGTGGTCTCTTAGGATAACAACGGGCATTTTTTATCGTAAAATGTAACGGAGGGTATAAGTGGTCTATTTCACATAGTGCAAGGGCAGTTTTGACCTTTTTCCGTAGTTTATAAATGAGCAATTGTTGAGATTGAGAAAGCTATTTTAGGATGTTATGTGAATTATTTATATTTTTTTTTGAAATAATTTTTCACTTTATTTCAAAAGTAGTTTGATGGTAAAATTCTCCAATCTCCAATCGTTCGGTTGTTTCATTCGCAATAAAAAAATAATTTAAACCCAACTCTATTTTCAATTTCAATTCTATAAATTTTAGTGAAAAATATTTGAATTTCACGAGCAAACAACTACTACTTTTTTTTAACTTTAATGCAAGACTTTCATATTTCCTCAAATTATATCTTTGTTTTTCCTTTTCTTGTTGTAAGTTCTTGTGAAATAACCTCCAAATATCCTAACTTGTGTTGTGATACCACAAGGACTTGAAGATTACACATAATGAAACCAACAAAAAATCAATTCGAGCTTTGAAAATGATTTTTTTTTGATAAAAAGTATTTCTTTCTTAAATCGGTATTATGTGATACAAATTTGAATTAGTCGAATCAGTAAAATTTAGAACAGAACACTCCTTACCAAAAAAGTGAAGAAATTCCGACCATTCTACTCGAATCATTATGATGATGTCTCACGATCAAATCAAATCAAAGTTAAATAAATATCGAACCGAACGCCCACTCTGTATGAGTATGGCAAAAGATTTTGAGAGAATCAAATTGCATAAAAGCCTAATTTAATTTCATGGAACATACAAATTGAGTCTCATAATAGCCCAAACTCACAGCCATGAACCAAATTGGGTAAAGTTTTGCAAGACGTTCATCAAACAGTTAGGAAACATAAAATGGCGTCTAAATATATAATAATTTTTTTTAAACATATGGTGTGATTGATAGTTATATACTAAAGATGTTTGCTTAGTTACATAATTTTTTCAAAAAAAGGTACATTATCAATCATCAGCCACAAAATATTAAAAGTTACTGTTTGTTTCTTAAATTTCATGTCGAATTTAATTGAATGACACTTAAATTGGGACGAACGGTGTAATTTCTTTTGACTATTCTACTAGTATCTTATCCACAGCATGTGTTGTTCCTTTGTTCTTTCGTTTTTCTTTTACTTGACATTATTAGGAGACTTGGCAGTGGACTCCAACTATTCTAAGCTGACCTTTCTTTTCCTTTACCAATTATCTCCTTCTTTCTAATTTCGTTTTACGCGTAGTACTGCCTGAATATTCTAACTTTCAACGTTTGTTATTCATGCTTGAAAACGAAATACCAGCTAACATGATTAACAAAAGATGAATTATTGTGTTTACAAGACTTGGGCCGTTGACTCCAACACTAAAGCAAATAGTACATCTTTCTTTATCCTTTTTCTCTTACTTTCCCTTCCTCATCCTCACATTTAGAAAAAAGAAATTTAACGAAAAATTAAAGGAGATGGCTGAAATTCTTCTTACAGCAGTCATCAATAAATCTGTAGAAATAGCTGCAAATCTACTCTTTCAAGAAGGGAGCCGCTTGAATTTTTTGAAAGAGGACATCGATTGGCTCCAGAGAGTACTGAGACACATTCGATCATATGTAGACGATGCAAAGGCCAAGGAAGTTGGAGGCGATTCAAGGGTCAAAAACTTATTAAAAGATATTCAAGAATTGGCAGGTGATGTAGAGGATCTCTTAGATGAGTTTCTTCCAAAAATCCAACAATCCAATAAGTTCAAAGGCGCAATTTGTTGCCTTAAGACGGTTTCTTTTGCCGATGAGTTTGCTATGGAGATTGAGAAGATAAGAAGAAGGGTTGCTGACATTGATAGTTTAAGGACAACTTTCAACATCACAGACACAAGTAACAACAATAATGATTGCATTCCAATGGAACAGAGAAGAAAATTCCTTCATGCTGATGAAACAGAGGTCATCGGTTTGGATGATGACTTCAATAAGCTCCAAGACAAATTGCTTGTTCAAGATTTGTGTAATGGAGTTGTTTCAATAGTTGGCATGCCCGGTCTAGGAAAAACAACTCTTGCCAAGAAACTTTATAGGCATGTCCGTCAACAATTTGAGTGTTCTGCACTGGTCTACGTTTCACAACAGCCAAGAGCAGGAGAAATCTTACTTGACATAGCCAAGCAAGTTGGACTGACGGAGGAGGAAAGGAAAGAACACTTGGAGGACAATCTACGATCACTTTTGGAAACAAAAAGGTATGTTATTCTCTTAGATGACATTTGGGATACTAAAATTTGGGATGCTCTGAACCGTGTCCTTCGTCCTGAATGTGATTCAAAAATTGGCAGTAGGATAATTATCACTTCTCGATATGATCATGTAGGCAGATACATAGGAGAGGATTTCTCTCTCCACGAGTTGCAACCCTTAGATTCAGAGAAAAGTTTTGAACTCTTTACCAAGAAAATCTTTATTTTTGATAATAATAATAATTGGGTCAATGCTTCACCTTTCTTGGTAGATATTGGTAAAAGTATAGTTCAGAGATGCGGAGGTATACCATTAGCCATTGTTGTGACAGCAGGCGTGTTAAGGGCAAGAGAAAGAACAGAACATGCATGGAACAGAGTGCTTGAGCGTATAGGTCATAATATTCAGGATGGATGTGCTGAGGTATTGTCTC